TGCTTTCAGAAACAATAGGGTGCTTGCTTTTGCATTGTGAAGCAGTTCCAATAGCATGGAACATTTTGTTTAGGGTCCTTGGTTAGCTTTGGATGTGCCCTCCTACACTAGAACAGTTTCCTACTAGTGAGTTTAGGGGACTAAGCAAAAAGGAGGCCAAATTCTTGTGGCAATGTGCAATTTATGCTGTCCTTTGGGCATTTGATTGAAGCGTAATGCTCACAATGGGTGGTGTGTCTCATTTTCCCTCAACAAATTTAGGATGGGTTGTGTTTATGGCCTATCTCTGGTGTTCTGCAAATGGTTGGGCAGCCTTGCTGCATTTTTTATTCTTTTTGTTTTCCTTCCAAATGTGCTTTGATCTCTTTGCAATTTGCTTTGAAGGATTTCTTATCCTCATTTTTTCTGCCCTTTCCTTTATATTAATTTTTTCTTCTATTACAAAAAAAAAACTTTGAAGCCAACAATCTGGCCTTGATTTTCTTTTCCCTGACATTACTGTTTTGATGTGCTCACCATTTCATCTCTGAAAATTTGTGCTGACAACTTCTCATGAATTTTAGGTTTGGAAAAATTAATGGTGCCTGCTGCAAGGATTCGATCCTCTTGCGTAACACATGAAAGATTTGTTGTCACTTGAAGGCATTGGAGTTATGGATAAAGATACCTAAAGTTTGGAATAGGGAATGAAGCCAATTGGTCCTAGTCGTTTAATTTATATGGTATTATATTGAATTTTGTGTACATTATTTGATGTAATCAGGATCGATCATTTGTTATACATCAATTTGCTATAAATAGTGACCCCTTGAACTTTCCTACCTTACGTGCTGCTTGCTTTTACTAATTATTTTTTTCCCAATTCTTTCCAGAATTACAAAGGTAGCACTGTGGTAGATTCGCTAAATACTAGCACCTATTCCCTCTTTTACTTAATTTTGCACTATTTTTGCAGCTATTTTGCTTATTTTGCAATTTTTCAGTATTCTCAGATATGTGTTTCCTCACAACATTATGCAAACGGCCCATAAGTTGTTTCCACTACGCCTCAAAAGCCAATTCTGACCTCTCCAACATCTTCAAAGAATTCTTTTTTCTGCATGAACATCCCACAATGCAGACCAAAGCTTTCTTGAGCGAGCACAAGGAGTGTTATCCACATTAAAAAAAAAAAAAAAAAAAAGGAGTGTTATCCACTAAACCAAAATAACTTCCATACCCCTTTGAATTCATTGGAGCTAACTCACATACCCCTTTGATCATATCTATCATGATCAGTATGTGTCATTTCCACCACCTTGTATCCAATCAACCAACCTCTTATGCTTCACTCGTAGTTGAAAATGCCGAAATGGGTGGAGGGTTCAAATTGCAACTTTGTGTTAAACATAAGGTTGGAACTTGCTGGAAAAAAATAAGACTGGAACTGATTTATAAATCAAATTCTATGCTCTGAACACCTTAAAAATGATTAGAGGTCACTTTGTTTTATTGATTTTACTTTTCTTACCCGCAATTGGAATAGGTAAAACGAGCAAATAAATAAAGATTGAACTCTCAGTTCAATCAAGTTAAAATCACTAAAACTCAACCAAATCTGGGTTGATTTTTAGATACACACAAATAAACAAAATTTAAAATTAAATCAATTTTAATTTTAAAGAACCCCAATCAAAACTTAAGAGAATCTAGAAAGCCTGCATTCACGAGGTCGTCCATGGGAAAATCGCTTGTAATCTTTGCAGTAGTCATAAATCATGTAATACTTTTGGACCCATCTAAGACTTCTTCTGCCATTAGCATCAAGATCTTGAGCTTGCCAAGTATAATCATCAGTCAAGGCAAAAGAATTTGAAGGACATGAGAATGAGCCTTTGGACCACACACAAGCTTTGGCATCAAAGTTCCTATAGTAAGCTCTGAAAGGAGCAAAATACCAATTTGTTTTCACAAGCCCTCCTCTTGTTGCCCACTGATCAGCACACCATATACTTGAGTATAACCTCATGGGCTGGCTGCTAGCAAATGGAACTCCACTGGCTTCAGAGTTGTTGAACACTCTAATAGGGATGTTATCTACCAATAAACTAGCCAAAACATTGAAACACAGAACATCAATGATACATTAAATATGGAACATAGATGGTTTCATGAAAATTTTCTTTTTTACTAAACATAATTTCATAAAGAAAAATGATATCCATAATAAAAATTGAGAGAAATTGATAATGTAAGATTAATGGACAAGGAAAGCTATGTGTTTCTTACATGATGCGATGAGGGTTCCATACAATAGTATAGGTGTGGAAATTTTTTGTTGGGTCGAACCAAAGGTAGAATTGTTGTTCTCTATTCCCTATGCCTTGAGTGTAGACATTGGTGTGGACTATGTAGGGCTCTCCGCTAAGGTTTCCCAAGAACTCAAAATCTATCTCATCATGATTTGGCCCTTCAGAAGATAACTGCATCATAATTCATAACACATAAACTCAGTCAAAAGCACTGAAAAAAGTTAATATAATGAGAGAATATTGTCTAGTGTATGCAGTTATGCATTAAGCAGATCAACAATTAATACATTATCACTTTAAAATATAAAATATGTAATGTTTGATTGGTTTAGTGCACAAAAGTGTGTATAAAGAATTTCTCATATAGTGTATACAAACGCCACCAAATGTAAAAAACAAGTTTAACATGAGAACAAAAACAAGGGGCTTTCTCACATAATATGTAGTGACTATGCCAGCTGAGTTACCAGAGACAAGCTTAAGCTGCATGTCTATTCTACCAAATAGATATTCTGATTTGGATCGGAAGCCAGAGCCAGAGGATTGGTCAAGAGAAAGGACCAGAACGTTGCTAGCTAGTATCTTTGCACGTTGCTCACCCTAAGTGATGTCAATATCTTTATAGAAATTACCCTCAGCAATGACTAGTCCAAAGAGACATATGAAGAGAGAGGCCAGCATCAGAGCTGAAAATCTCATATAGGTTTCATGAATTGCCATATTCACTTTAAAATCTTCAAGTTTTGTTAGTAATGGAGTTTATATAAGTGAGAGAGACCATAATCTTTTAGTGTACTAAGTTGCTTCATGCACTGATGAAGCTCACAAGGAATTAATTAGCTGGCAATTAGATAATTTGAGCTAATAATTAAATGGGTTCCCAGGAAGGTCACATATGGTGGTGTGATTTAGGGATGTTATAGAGAGTTATCTTATTGTTGCAAATTTGAACTATATTATTGGAAAATAAAATATGTCAAATAAGATGTCATTTCATAAATATCGATAAATTATGTGAAATAAAAAAAAAATCATGGTACCGGAGTAAAAAGTTATGGCCTTTCGAAGTTTTACGATAATGATTCTCACCCTTTTGAATAAGACTAATCTCCTTCGTAATGTAAAGCGTGAAAGTTTTTGTTACTTGCCCCAAATTATTTTTCCTTAAGAATCGAACCATAGACCTTTCATCTCCAACACTTTGCTCTTGTATAAAGAGTTATCTTTGTTATGCCATTGCTTATTAGGTTCAACACCTTTGAGTATTTGTTACAATTGATTAGTGACTCCCCGTTAGTTATGCATAACGTGCCTGATTGAGTGTACTTGTATCGTGACTATATGAGGTTACACAAAACTGAGCAAAGAATGTCCTAAAACTTTGCATGACTTTGGGATATTATTTTTTATCATATTAAATGGAACGAAGGGTGATATTGCACGATACATGCTTAACTAGCATTGTTATGGGCAGTCTTTACTTCAAGAGAAAATTTAGATTTTAGAAAAGAGAGGAAACTATATATGGATTGAGAATTTGGCAAAGTAACGCGAAATACAAGGTTGCACGTGAGAGGACTTGCATGTGATTTAATCCAGATCGATGCAAGTCAAACAATATTCTGGGTTTCCAAATCAGCATCTTCTTGGTTACATAAAATGCTAAAGCTATTGCTATAATAAAAGGGAAATTAGTGAAGGTAATCAATTTTTTTTTTCATTTTGGCGTAAGTCTGATTTCGTTACATCTTATACTGTTTTATTAAAATTTGTATTTAATGAAATGCATTTCTCTAGTATTTATGTTGGTTGTGTCATAGGGGGAATTAATTGGTAACGAAGAAGATGGAGCAACAGAGATCCATTTGCTGAAGTCGTGTATGAATGAATTCAAATTTCTCTGGCAGACCCGGGATTTTTTATAACGGGGGATAAAAATAAAATTATAAAATTATAAATATTATTAAGACTAATAGGAAATACTAACTACCCCTGATACTTCTTCAATGCATATACTTTTCATAATGGTACAAATATGAAATTGAAATTGAAAACATAGAAAGCACAAATGAGTTTAAGTTTATCAGCAAGACAACGACACCAAAATATATGTATATATTTTTTTTAGGTAAATGATCGCCTATAATTATATTAACAAAATTTACAGTCTTAGAAAAAAAGAAACAAATGCTTACCTCAGTTCGTGGATTTTTAAAATTTTAAGGTTTCATTCAGAAGGGTTTCACCCCGCTTACATTACACTTTCATTTTTCATAGATGCAATCACACCAAGAGTGAAAAACACAACAGTGCTCTCTCTGGCTTTTCTCTTTCAAGAGTTTTATTTCACCCAAATATTACATTTAATAATCATTACATAGAATACATATAATCTTCTATTACAAATATATCTTATTAATCAATTCGTAACACTATAAACATCACAAGATAACACAAGGAATAATGAACAGAAATATTTTCATTGACCATAATTGATTCCGCCGAAAAAAGGTATAAACAAGCATAGCAGAAAGAACAATGTCAAATACTCAAATCTCTCAAAACCGTTCCAACCAAAAAAAGTGTAAACAACTATGAACAGTATCAAATCTCTTAATAACAAATTTCCCCTTCTTCCAAATTGTTGAGATATATAGTCCCACATTGGTTGTATGTGCAACTAATATGACCAATGTGGGACTATATTGCTCAACACAAATCCTCCACATCTTCATCTGAGGTAATATAGTCATCCTTGAAAAATAAACCAAGCCGCTCGAGTGGGTTTTGAGCACGAGATTTATCCATTGCAACTCTAGAGCAATGTTTAATGCTGAAGTCTCCATAACACAGCTTACCCCCACACAACATTTCAAGCTCCTCCCAAATCGTCAAGTCATTCTGTATCTCAGCAGTTCTTTCAATCTACCAAAGAAGACACATAGAGTGAAACTTCATGTTGTCATTTTGAAAAACCATTATAAAAAAATATATTATACAAGAGCAAAACCTTTTGTATTCTGACTCGTTCAGCTTCTCTTTCTTTTTCTAACGCTTCATTGGCTTTCATTCTTGCAGCTACCACAACAGTGTAAATGAAGCAAAATGCAGCATAAAGCTGTTATATTAAACCAAATTAATTTTTTTCCCCAAGTATGGAAATGACAGATGCTATATTCACCTTCATGCTGCTTTCTTTCCTTTTCCTTTTGCATCTTCATTTTCACACCCTAAACAAAGAAAGGCAAAAGGAGTTGGGGAATAATGCTACATTCAAAACTACAAACTATTAAAACACAAGGAGAAAGTACCATAACCAAGATATGCAAAAGCCTTACCTGGTCCAAAAGTGTTTCATTTTGTGCTTTACGGATAGTATCTGCAAAGCGGCGCTTCAGTGTAGCAACACGGATAGCCTGTTTGGGTGATAACAGTACATCATAAACAGGAGTGCTCCATTCTGGAAAAAAATAAATAGCAATTAAAGTCATACCAATTCACAATATAAAATGCAGTAGCAATTAAATGAAGCATAAATGGAAAAGTTGACCTTCTCTAGAAAGGGAATCAGTAACAGGTGATGTAAGGTGAGAAGTATAACATCCATGTTCACTATCGAGACAACTTGCAGCCCCTTCACATATTATCCACATCATCAGTGCATTCCAAATTATCGAATAAGTTACAGGTAGAACGTCACATATCACAAATCAATTGCAACGAATCTGTAACGACTTAATGCTTTGTACCTTTGTGTAAGTTTTTCTGAATCAATTTGCAACGAGTCTGTAACGACTTAGGAACCTCAACCTATATAATCAAAGTATTGCCACAATTAAAAAATATTATGAACATACATAAAACAAGCAAAACACAATAACAAGCAACATTATGTTACATCAATTCCAACACATGTATTACATTTTCGCAAATTCCAATGAGACGTACTTCCCTCGAAGAAAACAATACTTACTTTAGCATGTCTTCCATCCAATGAACTAATCTTCTGAATTTCTTTCATTTCAGGTACTTGCAACTTTTTGGGCAAGGTATCCTTTTGCAGGGGACGCATCCTATTACAAAATTTTCTCACATGTCCCCTCACTGCTCCAGCCATAATTTTTTCATTCTCATTTTCACACTTGCATTTTTTCTCCAAGTCTTTCCATTTTCTCTCAAATATTTTTTTGAGCTCCGTTGCCATTAAATGAACACCATTCATAGGAGGATAATATGTCATGGAATTTGAAAAGGTCAATCTAACATCAGCTGCAAATTCCTCAATGCTAAAGTAAATATTTTTTTCCAGCTTGGATTTAATAGTGTCTAAATCCATGGGATGAGATATGATTGTAAAATAATCTGGAATATTCAATGCCACAGGATCAACTGGCTTATTAAAAGCCCAGCCATGTCTGTGGGATGTTAGACTCTTCAGAATGGCAGTACACAGAAGAGATGTTTTCCGATCTATCTTCTGCCTTTTCTCTTTATGGCCCTCGATAATACCTTGTGGTCCTCTCTTGATGGAACCTGTCATAGAGGATTTTTTCTTTGAATTAGAGCACTCATTCTCATCAAAGTGGGATGCTTTTTCTATAAATTCATACTTTTTCAATCCAGAATCAACTTCAACCCTTTTGGTAGTAAGTAGTAACTTGAAATTTGATTTCTTACCTTGTACTGTTGTTTTAGTAACACCCATAACGATGTATTAAAACAAATTGTTTGAGGATAATGTTTTGATTTCCAAATTCTTAGGATCCAGAAGGCACACTTTGCTGCAAAGGCATCAAAGAAACAATACATCAATCCATATTGGATAGCCCAAACAAGGTGCCAAAAAAAAAAAGATAGCAACAGTCCCAGCAAAAATAATGTAACCCAATTCAACAAGCATAATTAATTTAGGGATAAAATATAGCACCATACGAGGAAAAAAATCAAATATTAAAAAACACCATATATCAAACACATTTTTGCGCAAAGTAAATCACATTTTTTATAAATTACCAAAAAAAAAAATCACATTTTTTATAACACAAACGCTGGCATGCATATACCAGTGAATTAGATTAAAAAAGAAATTGACATCAAAACACCAAATTCGGACAATTTTTTTTTTTACAACTTGCATAAACCCAAGCCAAAAAAAACTCAAAACTATCCAAAACCCATATTCCTCGACACCAGAAATAAAAAAATTTGGGAAAAACTTTAATAATATTCCTATGGTTTGTTTTAAAATCAAAAATACCCTTTAACCTTTTTTTAAACAATAATGGCTCTGTGATATAGAAAATACCCATACCTTTTTATCACCATTAATACATTTATGTGTTTCTTTTATTATTGTCCCTGTTTAAACAACAAATATAATCACACTTTGAAGGGTTTAAATAAGAGCAATAATGGAGGAGGGGCACGCAGCTGTTAAGGAAGAGTATGGTGTTTTCTACACTATGGATGTTTTTTTATTCAAAAGCAAACTTTGAGAGTAAAATTATTCAAAAAAAAAAAGAGAGAGGAAAAAAGCGAAAACACAGAAAGTAACCAAGAAGTCCCTAATCCCGCCCAGTTTGCCATTCATATCGGAACAAAAGGGTTTTTTCTTAAAAAGAAAAGAAAAAACTGAAATTTTATGAATAAGCAATTTTATTGTGAAAGAAGCAACTTTATGAGAAAACAAAAAAAAATAATAATAATAATAATTTTTCATGACAGAACTGTATCGTGTATATATAAAAAAAAAAGGGCATGTCCGAAATCATTTGTCTGCGGTGAAGAGAAAAAAAGAAGAGAGAGAAACTATAAATATGATAAATAGACCCCACTCTATTTTTTCTCTTTCGAGGCAGACAAAAAGTTTATACCTTTAAAAAACCAATCATTCCCCCTTAAAAAAATGGGGAGTGGATCCTCTCATGTGTAAAAGTAGTCATGTGGTCATGTTATTTGATCACAATTATTCATTTAAAAATTATATATTTTTCTCTCTCTTATCTCATCATCAATGAATGATTGTGATCAGATAACATGACCGCATGACCACTTTTACACATGAGATGATCCACTCCAAAAAAATGGGTGGAAGGAACTCGTTCTCATTCTTCTTCCTAATTGTATCAGACAATTTTATTGAGAAGTTATATTCCCAGCAAAGCAAAATACGACAAAACAAAAACCATCTTACCCGAACAACAGAGAGAGAGAGAGACAGAGCGTCGAACCGCAGGGAGGGACCACGCTTGCAATAGGGTTTTACTCGCAACAGGGTTTTACTCCGAACAGGGTTTTGAGTTAATCAAATTATCAATCAACATTAT